GAGGGGCTTGTGCAGCAGATTGTGGGAAGCCATCCTGAAAGGGTCTTAGCTCCGCCATTGATAACACTTCTGACACGCAGCCGCCGCCCCGCCCATCTCTGGGAATACGTTTACCTCGTTAAATCAGTACCTGTAATTCAATACCTTGGGGCATGCCCTTCCCTATCTATTGTAAACTGAAAGCCTAGGGCTGGTTTCCCTGGCAGCCCGGCCTACACAGCTGCCTATTTATTGCAGAATCTCTCGAATAAATTCTGGAGCTTGATCAGATGCGTTTGTTTTGCCCCCAATTTTTCTCGCCTCTTGTCCCGTCCCCGCCCAATCCGCACTCCTTCTCTTTTAGAACACGTAGAACCCGCAGGTCGGTTTCAGCAGATCAAAGACCACAGCTTTTAATAGGATTAATTGCATCTCAACATTAAGAAAACCAAAATCCTCACCACTGAATCAATAGACAACATCTTGACAAATGGATCAAAGATTGAAAATGTCAATGATTTAATCTTATTTGGATGCACAATCAACATTCTTGGTATCAGCAATAAGGAGATCAGGATATGTATAGCATTGAGAAAGCCTTCTATAAGGGCCCTCTAAAAATCCTGAAGAGCAACAATGTCAGTTTAAAGACTAAGGTGCTCCTGATCCAAGCAATGGTCTTTCCAGTCACCTAATATGCATCTGAGAGCTAAACAATGAATAAGAATGACAGGAGAATTCATGCCTTTGATCTGTGTTGGAGAAGTGTACTGAAATAGACTGCCAAAATAACAAGCAGAGAAAGTACAACCAGAGTGTGCCTTAGAGGCAAGGATGGCAAAGCTTTGTCTCTCCTAGTTTGGACATGTTTCTAGGAAAGGCTGGTCATTTGAAGGGTGGAGGCTCAGTGGAAGAGAGGAACACTCTCAACTAGATGGATTGACACAGTGACTGCAGCAGTGAGCTCCAATATGTCAGAGATGATGAGGATGGCACAGGACAGGGTTCAGATCTGTCTATACAGTCGCTCTAGTATGACTCATACTTGATCCAATGGCAGCTAACAATAACAACAATCTTACCTCATTAATGTAGAGATTACAATTTACAACATGTAGGAAAATGACATAAAACTGAGAATCATGCTCTAGTTAGCTTGACCTATACTTTGAGGAAATACAATTCTATCCATGATAGTTTAGAGGCTGTTAGGCTGTGCTAGGATTCCTGCCAGCCTCTCCGTGCAATAGGCAGGGGCTCTTCTTTTTCTGTGCTGAAGGCTCAAGCTCAGGACTGTCTCCTTCCCGAGTTTCAGAACCCAAGAAAGTAAGAATAGGCAGAATTTGAGTGCTGTGTAAATAGCTGGCAATAATAGGACTGAGACAAAGAAGGGTTTACAGTAAATTCCCAAGACAGACAATATTTATACGTGACCTCCAGATTGTTTTACACCAATCTGATCCATGTTGGAGCAAGTTCTGAAGTTCACAGGTTTTAAGTTGCTGGATTTTGCGTAAGGACCCATGCTGTTAAAGTGCGTAGTGTCTTAGGCTTGTAACGGAAAGATTGCCATTCAAATCTACCATGAGTGACACAGGAGAAGAGGGTCAGTCTCTTCTGAACAGATTTACAATTTGGAGTGTCAGTATGCTTAGATTTGGGTCAGGCCTAGAGTGTTTCCTAGTTACCTCTGTAAAGTATCTGTCTTGACTATTCTTCGGTAGAGCAATGTCCTTCTCCACCCTTTGGCCTTTCTGCTTTCCCATTCTCGAAGACTTTCTGTCTCTGAGATGGATTTGTTCATCTATTTTATGTCATGTTCACTGATGTTGTCCTTTGAATGGGACACTGGCTCAGGGACAGTGGGCCCTGCTCTGGAGTCCACCTTCCAGGAACTCAGGGCGGTGTCACTACAGTCGCAGCAGGTGTGTGGGCATGAGGTGTCAACTGAGATCCAGGGGAAAAAAACCTAGACCTCACCTCACAGAGCCAGTCATTCATTAATCACAAGAGGTCAGTTGGTTTGAGAAAAACTTGATCTCCTTGATTGCAGATTAGAGAATTTGAGACAATCTCCCTACAGTTCTTGTTCCTTTACCCTTTCTCATAAAGAGATCTGTTTTCAGGTTGGTTCTTATCGTCTTCTGGTTCTGGTCCAATTTGAGCACCTCGGAGATAAGAAAAAAAGCTACAATGACTCTGAAGGTTAGCTTGGAAAGGGTCCTATAGTCTGCCTAAGTGATTGCATTGGGTTTGTGGTGTTGGTGCTAGGTGCCATCAAGTTGAATATGGCTCATAGTGACCCTGTGAAAACAGAGCTGGACCCTGTCCTATCCTGTACCATCCTCATAATTTCTGACATACTCAAATCCATTGATGCAGTCACTGTGTCAATCTGTCAGGTTGAGAGTCGTCTTTTCTCTCACCAATCCTCCAACTTTCTAAGCATAATGTTCTTCTACAAGGAATAGCCTCTGTTAACAACATGCCCAACGTATGTGTGACAAAGCTTTGCCATCTTTGCCTCCAAGGAGCACTCCAGCTGCACTATCTCCAGGACTTATGTCTGTTCTTTTGACCATCCATGGGATATTCCATGCTTTTCTTCAACGCCACAACTCGAATACCACAACTTCTATTATCCTTATTCATTGTCCACTCTTAGATGCAGAGGAAGTGATTGAAAAAGAGTGGCCTTAGTCAGAAACACTTTAGTCTTCAAATTGACACCATTGGTCTACAGAATTTAGAGAGATCCCAGACCGCAGACTTTCCCAATGCAATATATCTCCTGACTGCAGGTACCAAGCGTGCTGATTGTGGATCCAAGTAAGATAACTTTGTTGCCAGTTTCAATCTTTTCTCCATATGTGATGATGTGGTCCAGTGGTGAGAATTTTTTTTCTTCTTGTTGTTGAGATGTAATCCATATGGAAGGGTATACGGTTTGATCTTCTGCAACAAGTGCTTCAAGTTGCATAATGCAGGTTGTTGGTGAGTCTTCCTCTGATCCTGATGTCACATTCTTCTTCAAAGAATCCGGCTTCTTGAATGGTTTACTCAGCATACAGACTGGTTATGTCTGGAGAGTTTCTTCCTCAACCATTGATTTAGGAAGGTCTTTTAAATCATTAAAATTATCCTGTTAAAATGTGCCAAAACACTCATCTGAGTGTTGCATGACCTTGTCACCTTAGATATAGATGAGGTGGTTGGTGTAAGGTGAGATTCCGCTCCTTTATCAGCCTGAGAAACTTGCACTCTCTCCTGCAGGTAGAATCATTGGAGCCCTCCCTGCCCTGTCTCATAGTCCAACTTCCTCTGTGATTCTTCATCCAGATTTGCTGAATCATTCCCTGCAATCTGGGCCTCTCCCAACTTGTCCCAGGCATGTTCTGAGCACATTTTCCTCTGCAGGCCATGTTTTACATGCGGTAAACCCTGAGACTCTGGCTGTGAACCAAGAACCTCTCACGGCAAAAGGAGAAAGTTGGTTCTGCTGGAAGTGACATGTCCTCCTGAGAGTGCAAATGAAGGAGCCTAGAACTGGGTAGAGAGAGCCAGGTGGATTCCAGCTCTGACCTAGAATTGGCTCAGGGAACAGGGGAAAAGTGCTTAATCTCTGTGGACCTTCAACTCCCTCCTGATAAATGCTGTTAGTAGAATCCATCTTGGAATCTGGGCATTTTTAAATCTCTATGTTGTAATCTCTCATAATGTCAGATTGAAGACTAAAGTGCGCCTGTTCAGGCCACGGTCTTTTCAATCACTTGTTCTGCAGCTGAGAGCTGGGTGATAAGTCAGGATGATGGAAGAGGAATTGATGCCTTTGAACTGTGGTGTTGGAGAAGAGTACTGAATATCCTCTGAGTGCCAAAAGAACAAACAGATATGCCTTGGAGAATGTGTAGCCAGAGTGCTCCTTGAAGGCAAGGATGATGAAACTTCATCTCACATACTTCGGGCATATTGTTAGAAAAGGCTCTTCATTGGAGAGGGACGTGTTTGGGAAGGTGGAAGGTGGGCAAAGGAAAGGAAGACCCTTAACCAGAAGAACTGACACGGTGACTGCAGAAATGGGCCAGAGCTTGTCAGAGATTGTGAGGATGGCACACGATAGGACACGTTCAGACCTGCTGTTCAAAGGGCTGCTATGAGTCATGTTTGACTCAATGACACCTAACAATAACAACAGTGTTGCAATATCTCATAGATAAGAAGAATCTAACAGTATAAAGTCTTCATATGAAGGAGCTCGTTTTTTTTTAAAAAAAGTTATCTGAAGGAAAGCTAACTAAGCATATTTTATAACATTAATAACAATAACCGCAATGTATTTTCTCCCACTTCTCTGCAATTCTCTTTCCTACCCTTTCCTCCTTCAGAGATTTATCTTTGGGAAGATACTACACTTTCCCCCTTTTATAGTTGGTACTTCTAATGAGTGAGTGCCTTCCTGGTGTTGTTCATTTTATTGGCTTGTCCTTTGACTGCAAGTTGAGGAATGAGAGTGAGTTTTGTTCCAGGTTTGGAACAGTGGTGACTGAGGGCCATAGCTGGGAGTTCTGCCATCTCTATTGGAACATAACCTGGCTGGTTTTAGATTTGTATTTGGTTCCACATTCTCTCCAAATCAATCCAGGGTCCTCTGCTGTGTTCATTTGTAGAGAACTCATCCGAGCACCATCTAGTTTTTCTGATCTCAGAGTGTGGAAGCTGAGGTTCACATGGTCAGTTAGGCCTTTGGACAATTTCAGTCCATCTTTGTCTTTTCTTCTTTATTCTGGACACAGAGAGGCCAATAGTTGCTCACAACTTTTTTTCTTTTTTCACTTCACTAACTTTTACAGCCCCACTTGATGGTCATCAAATGTAGGATTTAAAACACTGTCTTTCTCTACCAATCGACTCAAGGTCATATGTGGAGACTTTTATTAGGATAAAGGAATGAATTCTCTTACTATTTTCTTGACCAGGGTAGCAAAACTAAGCTCTGGCTTTCTTTTTCCCTTTTATCCCAGGGCCTGAAGAAGATTTCTACCTTCATGAAGTGCAGCGAGTACCTCGACCTCTCTTTGGAAAGGAGGCCACTTGGGGCAATAGATGAATCCAGATCATGGAAAAGGTGGAACAGCTAGGCACAGACATGATACAAGTCATAAAAAATCAGAAGCTACACTATAATAAAAGAGAACTAATTAGAATAAAATATTAAAAGAGCTATCATATGTATCTAGAGCAGGATTTAGGAAACATTTGCTCCAAAAGTTGAGATAGTAAAAGTTTTAGACTTTTCAGATCACGTGACCTCTGCCAACCAGCAGCACTGTCCTGGTGTAAAAGAGCGGCAGGCAGGGCTGTGCTCCAATTCAACGGCTTTGTTTTGCATAAACGAGTGACTATAGTAGACACATTTAGAAGCCTACATTTCAAGGGCACTTCTATGATAAAGCTAAATTTTAGATTTGGAATTTAAAGGCCCATTTTCAATGGAAAAAGAATAACTCAATGCTTGAAAGAGATATGTGACTTAATAAAGGAAGACATTTTGTGAACATTATGGTCATTTATATTCTAAAACATAAAAACATAAATTTTGTACAGTTGGGCTTAAAAGTAGCACTCTGGTGGCCTAGTGGCAAGGAGTTGCAACTACAATCCCAGAGGCTCACGGTTTGAATCCACCAGATGCTCTGCCGGGGAAGGAGGGACAATCTCCTCCTGTACTAGTCAGATCTGATTTGATGGTACACTCACACAAAAATAATAATAATAATAATAAAAAGTAGCACATCATTGTCCTTCTAATTGAAACACCAAACAGAGATGCGTGTGATATGAGCAGAATCTACTGTAGGTGATGCAGGCCCATTTGCAGAGACTGGTGAACACTGTAGACGATCATTTGCAGTCATTCTAGCATTGAGCTCTTACAGATTGCAGCATTTTCAGAGCTGCTAGTAGGATGGGGCTTGTATCCTAGCCTAATCCTATCTCCTTAATACAATAAACAAAATAAACAGTTAAACACTGGCTAGGAAAGACACTTAGAACAATAAACCTTTTACACCCACCCTGAGATGATGTAACTTTTGGGTGTTTAACTCTACTGTTGTTTTCTTGGCGTTTTCTGTGCTTGAGTATAACTTTCAAGTATTTCAAGAAAGGACAGTTTTGGAGTCTACATGTTTTCAAACTCATGATGATTAGGGTAACTGAAGAAATAAAAAGTTTCGGGTTTAATGCTGTTGGAGTTACACCCAGTTGAAGCTCATTGAAGACTGAAAGTTAGTGGCATTCAGGTTTATTCTGCATGTTTCCTGAGCATGTGAGGAATGAAAGGATACTGCCTGAGCACATTTTCCTTCTGGGTGGTCTGGGAGGGCTCAGCCCTTTAAGAAGAAACTGGAGGGGCGGGTGGAGGGAGAGGGGGAATTTCAAACAGGACAAGTCAGGCAGAAAGCAGACACTCCAAGAGCAGTGAGAGGGGGAATTTCAAACAGGACAAGTCAGGCAGAAAGCAGACACTCCAAGAGCAGTGTCGGCAGCCTTCCGTTCTCTGAGCAGCAAGAAAACCTATAGAAGAACAGATTAGGGTTTTTTATTTGTTTAGAAAAGTTGTAACAAAATATTTGATAAATTTACTTTTGTTTAAGAAATATTTTAAGACAATGTTAAGTGATATTTTAAATACATACCCTAAAGCTTTAAAGTATTGCACATTTGTATATTTATCTATCTGTACACCTATGAATAAAGGAATATTAATAGATTGATTGCAGCAATTACAAAACCATTTACTATATTACACAATAATATACTAAGGAATAAAATAAGAAGATAGTAGAGATTCTATTAACTGTCATCATATTATTTTCCCCTACCAAGTTATTTTCACTTTCAGATCTTTATGTATTCATAAATTCTGTTGGAAATTCTCTTGAATAGTCTTGACCTAATTGTATTTGTTTATATTTAAAAATACTATTGCAGACTTGGATTTAGCCTTCTGATAAGGGTAAATTAAACTCTCTAGAAATTAAATCAGCTCAGAAGACTAAAGTATTTGTTCTCATTCAGGCTTGTCAGTTGTCAAGAAGTAAAAGGATATGTGTTCTTACTAATAGCTGATGTGCTTTTGGGATAGCCCACAAATGAGGAATATTTGGGGGGCTGCCAGGAGTCACAACTGACTTGAGAGCAGAAGGTTGGAAACAAAAAACGTTTCTAACATTGACAAAACTCTTTAAAAATTGAATGCTAAAATCCCTTAAAAACCGTTCAGCTGTTTTCCTATTATTTAAGGAAACAATTATGGTCTAATTAGGACATCATTTAAGGCACCAAGACTCAGGATCTCACTGCCCAGATAAACAAGCAGCATTAACCAAGATAATTGCTCCGCAATCACACAAAGGAGAGGGACCCTGAAGGAATTCAGAGGCAATTGTTAACTGTCAGAGGCAACCCCTGATTTGAAGAAGTGGGAAATTCCCAAGTGATTTACCCTTATCAATTCCTTGTATAAAGACACAGTTTAGTAACTCTCAGCCTGCTGACTCTTGACTCCCCAGAATCTGAATAAGAATTTAGAATGTTTCACATTACTCATAATTTCAGAGATAAATTTGCAATATTATGAAACCAAAATAATGGAACCAGTTTTACTGACTCCAACACACCTACCCCCACTGCCCCAGCTATAGTATCTATGTAATCCAGGGTTTTTCTCTCCTGGGCTGTCCCTCCACCCTTCTGAGCATGACCTTCTCCAAAGACTGGTCTCTCCTGGCCACGTGTCAAAAGTATGTGAGATGGAGCTTCAAAAGCCTATCCTCTGAAGAGAAACTTGATTTCACCCTCTCCAAGACAGACCTATTTGTTTTCTTGGCAGTCCATGGTAAGTTCAACACTCCTCTCCAGCACCACAACTCAATGGCATCAATTCTTCTTCTGTCATCCTTAGTCATTGTCCAGTTCTCTGATGCATAGCAAGTAATTGCAAAGACCATGGCCTAGATTAGATCAGCCTTAGTCTCTAGAGTGAAATCATTGCTTCTCAGCACTCTGGACAGGTCCTTGACAGCAGATTTTCACAGTGCAATTCATCCTTTGATTTCCTAGTTGCTGGTGAGAAGAGTGTTGGCTGTGGAGCCAAGCAATCTCAGCCTCAATCTCTTCTCTATCCATCGTGGTTCTGCCAACTGGCCCGGTGGTGAGAATCTTTGTCTTCTTGAGGTTGAGCTTAAACTGCCACCACCAGAGTTCCTTTCTATGTACTCCTCAGTGCTCTCATTGTTATGTAGCTGGAATCAACACACAGCTGACTCTCTAGCTGGTTTTTTCAGAGGCTGTAAATCACATAGAAAGAGATTGCCCATCTTTCTCCCTCAGAGCTACAGATGATGCCAACAAACAGAGAACCACCACCTTTGGGTTAGCAGTGCAACATCCTACAAACCACACCACCAGCTCTCCCTGTGTATATATGTACTAGGAAATAAAAAAGACAACTAAACCTTCATTAGCCTTGTTTTGTTGTTTGGGTTTTGTTTTGTTTTTTGGTTTTTTTTTTTGCAATAATTGCTTTATTGTGGCCAGAACCAAACCTACATATCTCTGAGGTCAGCCTATTCAGCCACCTAAGTAGAAAAGTGCAACATAGATACATTTTATTTCTCCATTTGATGCTGTGAGCCCATGTCAAAGGTCCTTCCTCCAGTCTATCTTCTATTTTTTGTTTAAGATGACACTACTTTGTTGTAGGGTGGTTGTTTTTTTTTTCCACACCCCTCCACCCAATTGTGTGACCCTCTAATTAACACCACCACCCTGCCTATCCTCACCCCTCTGCTTCCACTCTCCTCCCATTTGGATCCTCATACTCATTCTACAATAATGATTTTATAACAGTCTTTGTCTTTGTGGGACTAAGTTAATTCACTTGGCATAATACTTTCATTTTCCACTCCCTCCCGTGTAAAATAGCAATTTACAAAATCATTGCTCCTGCTTGCTGCATAGTATTTCATTGTATGAATGTACCACAACTTCTCAATCCATTCATTTGTGCTTGGACATCTGGGCTGTTTCCATGTTCTTTTTTGGAGGGGTGGGATTTGATCATAGTCCTTTACTATTACTAAATTTCATAAGAAATTAGTTTCCTTGGAATTGTAAGAGCGTTCAGTGGGCCAATACAGGCTGCTCTGTCTCCATAGGTCCACACCTTCCTCAAGTTTTGTTCATTTCTAAGCACATTCATTGCTATGAGTACAGGCTCATAACTGACCCTGCACTGGGTTTCCAAGGCTGTAAATTACAAGAGAGGGGATTGGCCATCTTTCTCCACCTGAGCTGCTAGTGGATTTGAATCATTAGAGAGGTTCAGCTTTTGGTTAGCAGCTACCAGAGCACACTCTCTCGCTCTCTCTTTTTTCTCTTTTTTTTCTTTTTATACAATTCTCCCTCTCCCACCCAAATCCACTGCACTATGCAACCTTCATTCTGGACTCTTGTTATGACAATAATATCTAACCATATATTGCTTTTAAACAGTTCTCTCCCTCCTGTTTCAATGTGGTATACATAATTACATAATTTATCCCACCTTTCTCAGTCTCCCCCCAACCCCAATGTCAGTCCCGCTTTACAACAATGGCACTATGCAATATTTGTCCTTTTGTGACTGAGATATTTCACTCAGCATAATGTCCTCCAAGGTCATCAATTTTGTATAATATTTCATAAGTTCTTTGTTTTTCAATGTGGTATAATATTCCATTGTGTGAATTTAACAGAGCTTCTCTATCCATTCGTTTGTTGATGAGCACGTAGGCTGTTTGCAACTCTTTGCTATTGTGAACAAAGCCACGATAAACATGGCTGTGTATATATCTGCTTGAGTGGCAATTATGGTTTCTTTAGAGTATATTCCCAGTAGTGGAATTGCTGGGTCAAATGGTATTTCTATTTGCAACTTTTTGAGAAAGCACCATAAAGCCTTCCATAGTGGTTGCACCATTTTATACTCCCATCAACAGTGAATAAGGGTTCCAGTTTCTCCACAACCTCATCAGCATTTAATGTTTGCTGCTTTGTTAAATT